CTCTCTCTCTCTCTCTCTCTCTCTCTCTCTCTCTCTCTCTCTCTCTCTGTGTGTGTGTGTGTGTGTGTGTGTGTGTGTGTGTGTTGTTCCCTTTCCTAAGCAATGCCCATGAAGGGAAAGCAGAGGCGTTTCACTCTATGGCAGGTAGTGCCCGTCACCAGGTAGGCAGGAAATGGTGTGTGCTGACAGGATGGAGGGCTGTGAGCAGCTCCTCAGAGGAGCCCAGTGCCAGCCCTGCACTGGCTACCACTTGAGTCCTGGGTCCCTCCTCATTGCCTATCTGCCTTGGTTTCCTCAGGCAATCAGAATAACCCTGTATTTGACTCCTGGTAGCATCTGATCTTGACCCAGTCACTTCTCTGCAAAGTGAGAGGTCTACAAGTTTGCCTGTGCTCCTTTTTCTTGACCTTGGACAGAATCCCAGCCAAACCACCAAGCGTCTCTTAGTCCCCCTGGGAAAGATCTTCCCAGCTCTTTCTAAGTTAGCCATATCTGGGCTCTGTAGTTCCAGATAACACTTGGGGACTGTAACTTATACGTCTAAGTGGCCTTCAAGTAGGGATGCATGGCTCCTGGATATATCCTAAGAGTCTTGACTTTATGGAGTCAAATCCCCAGTCTTAGAAGCACACAACCTTGGACAATGGTGAATCCCAGTCTGCATCTTCAGTTGCTCAGCACAGAGCTGAGGTCTGCTATGAAAGGTTATTTTTTTATTGATGTTATATCCTCTTCAATCAGGATGAAGTGGGTGCCAGGAAATATTGGGGTTCTCATCTCCTAGAGTTACTGGCAACACCTGACACGTGGATAGCCTATACCTTAGCCTGAGTGGGAACTACCACTTCCACCTCAGAGAGAGCACTGGTGTGCTGGAGCCAGCTCAATGCACCCCAACACCAAGTTCTTAGCACAAAGGAGGTTTATTTGTCCCAGAGGGACAAAGAATAGGAAATAAGAGACAAACATAGGAGTTAGAGGATGAAAAAGAAGAGGAAGGGAATAAAGGAGAAAGGGAAGGGGTTATTTGTCCCAAAGGGGGTCAAAGGACTACCTTTGGATAAAGAGGAGATAGACAGGGCCCGTAGGAAAGTGGAGTTTATAAAGGTGAAAGTGGAAACTCCATTTTAGAATGAGGTGTTTTTTATTTTATTTTATTTTATGTATAGGAGTACACTGTCGCTGTCTTAAACACACCAGAAGAGGGCATTGGCTCCCATTACAGATGGTTGTGAGCCACCATGTGGTTACTGGTAGTTGAACTTAGGACCTCTGGAAGAGCAGTCAGTGCTCGTAACCACTGAGCCATCTCTCCAGCCCCTGAGGTGTTTAATTTTAATTGGACATGTTAATTAGGTGAGCCAACAAGGACTTTTGATTGCTGAATTTCAATACTTTGATAGTTAGACCTTGTAGTCAGCCTCAGGAGGAGGAAGTGGCCAAATAGTGGACTAGACCTTGGTGGCTAACTTTAGGAATGTACTCTAAAGATTTTTAGTAAGGCAGGGGAATTGGGGAGAGGGCAAGTCCTGCCAGGCCGTGTTTGCCACACCCTGGTTGGCTAGAGTCCCTTCAACTGGGGTTCTTTTCTCAGCTCACATCTGTTTATCTCACCTGAACCCCCTAGCAAGAGGGGCTGAAGAGAAATTTGATTTGTTACTTTGGGATGGAAAAGCAGGTTCTCCTTGCTTGTCCCTGGATGGCATCCAAGTTTCTGAAGTAGGACTTTTGCCACCCACATTTGCCAACAAGCTGTCTCAAAATCTCTGGAAAAAGCATCAGGAAATTGGAGACAACTCTGACAAATGACAAAGCCCAGCCGAAGACCATATCCTTGGGAGCTAAGCTTTCATCACCACCAGACTGGTTTCCATGACAACATCTGTTTCCAGTAGAGGAATTTTAATCCAGCAACATGGGTGCTCTGGCAAGGGTTTATATCCAAAGACCTAGGACTATGTGATCTGACTGGAAAGCAGACAGGCTCTGGATCACAGTATGGTCTGGCTGGAATATAGACACATCCTTAGTACACACCTTTCATCCCTAACAATAAAGATAAGGTTAGTTTGTAGAAAAAAGCAGCCATGTTTGAAAGTGACGTCTAATCGAGAGGCAGATAAAGTGACAAATCAGAGAAAGATTTGACAGAATGAGTCAGAGACTGGATACACCCAACTCTCATGAGAACAGACAGGAAAGTGAAGCTACTTAAGAGCCATGCAGTTGAGAACGGAGGGCAGTTTAGTTGAGTTCTGTTCAGTTCTGTTCAGTTCCAGCAGTCTGTACAGTCAGTGCAGTTCAGTTCATGGAGTTTAGAAGCAGCTTTTCCGGGCGGTGGTGGCACACGCCTTTAATCCCAGCACTTGGGAGGCAGAGGCAGGCGGATTTCTGAGTTCGAGGCCAGCCTGGTCTACTGAGTGAGTTCCAGGACAGCCAGGACTACACAGAGAAACCCTGTCTCGGGAAAAAAAAAAAAAAAAAGCAGTTTTTCCAACCAGATCAATTCAGTGAGATGCTGAGAGAAGCCAGTTTGAATCAGTCAGCTTGGATAGGAGTTTTGAGCCAGAATATCTAAGTTGAACCAGCAAACCAGAGCTGAGAAAGAACTAGAAAGGGTGAGCTTCTTCAGCAGTAAGCCTCCTAGATGACAATTATATCTGGTAAATAAAAGTTACTTTTACAGTTTCCCACTTCCAGGGTCTATCTGTGTTGACTCACCTGCAAGGGGAGTGCAGAGGTGGGGCAGGAGGAACATTCTCCAGGACTAAGTTGGTCTCAACCTCTCTATTCCCTGATTATATTCCCTGCAGATGTCTGCTGTGGAGGGAAATGGACATGGGCTCCAAATGGGATCTCCCAAATGGTGGCATCCGACTGGCTCTAAAGTGTAAGAACTCTTGGGTGGAAAAGTACCAGTGCTCAGCAACAGTCAAGCAGATGAGACCCAGTTCCCTCAGATCCTCAGGTGCCATGCTCAGGAGAGCAGCAGGTACCCGTCAGAGTGGCTGTAGCAGATGCCAAAGCCTTATCCAGTGTTGGGGAGAGAGAGGAGGTTTCCTTTTATTTCTACAGGAGAGACTAAAGTAAAGGTGTGTGAGAACCAAGTTGTTACCAGACTGTGTTGGCTAGTTTTATGCCATTGTAGCACAGCTAAAGGTCATCTGAGAGGAGGGAACCTCAACTCAGAAAAAAGAGTCCATAAGACCAATCTGTAAGGCAAGGCTGTAGGGCATTTTCTCTATTAGTGATTGATCAAGGATGGCCAGGCCATTGTGTGAGGTGCCACCCCTGACCTAGTGGTTCTGGGGTCTATGAGAAAGCAGGGTGAGCAAGCCATGGGGACCAAGCCAGTAAGCAGCACTCCTCCATGGCCTTCTCAATAGTTTCTGCCTCCAGGTTCCTGCCCTGTTTGAGTTCCTGCTTTGGCTTCCCTCAGTGAACTGCGATGTGGGATACATAAGCCAAATATAAACCCTTTTCTCCAGCTTTTGGTCATGGTTGTTACATCATAATAATAACCCTAACTAAGACACAGAACTGCAAAATGTTAAAGCTGGAGGGGTTGGGCAAGTCATTTAGTCCAACATAATTTTATAGATAGAGGCACTGAGGCCCAGAGGCAATTAGCTAGCTTGGGAACCTAATGGTGCCCAGGGACAGTACCCCATGGTGTTACATGGGCGTAGCTCTGACTCAGAGCTCCAGGCAGAGGTCAGCATGATTTGTCATTGAAGTCACTTCATTGGAAAGTCCTTGATTCAGTAACCAGGGACCCTCACCATTTCTCTTTCATAGATAGCCATAAGCAAACATTAGTTTGGGGCTCAAGTGAGCAGTCTTCAGTTACCTGTGAATTATAGTGAATACTACTTGGCTCTGTGGAATAAAACCCACTTAGCCCATCTTATTACAGAAATATAAATGCCCCCCCAGTTGCCATTAGGATGTAAAAATGGGTATAAGAATTATAAAAGCAAGGAGTCAATGTGAAAATATCACATGACTGTTTTAGAGGTTCTCTCCTGGTTAAAAACCTTCCAATCTGAGCGGCCATAATGACCGCTTTAATCACAGCACTCAGGGAGCAGAAGTGGGCAAATGCCTGTGACTTTAAGGCCAGTCTGGTCTACCCTGAGAGTTCCAGGACAGCCAGAAATACACAGAAAGACCCTGTCTCAAAAATAAGATAAAATGAATCCTCTAAAAAAAAATTAAATATCTTTCTCTTATTCTCAAGACACATCCTCCAGAGGCCAGGACTGAGATGGGTCACCTGCAGATTCCAGGAGGCCATTTGCCTCTATCTGTCCTCTATTTCCTCGGTCCTCCACTGCTGGGGTAGTCTTGAAGAGTCACAAGAGCCCACCTGATATTCCTTACCAAGAATGAAGTCAAAGCTCCAACACACACACACACACACACACACACACACACACACACACACACACACACTCTCTCTCATACACACACACACTCTCTCTCTCACACACACACTCTCTCTCTCTCTCACACACACACACTCTCTCATACACACACACACTCTCACACACACACACACGCACACACGCTAGTGCACACAGGCTCCCCTCTCTTTGTCCTAGCAGCTCCACTCACTTTTAGACATATTCCCCAAGAGACTATACATGTACATAGGAAACAACTGCTGAGATGGATCAGGGAGGGGAGGGAGAGGGAGAGGGAAGGAGGGATGGAGGGAGGGAGAGATTTAAGTGTACATCAGTAGAATGGGCTGTGCCAGATCCATACAGTGGAATATTATACAGCTGTGAAAGGGGAATTAGTTAGAACCACATGTTTGCATGAAGCTTAAAATTTTAAACGTTGAACAAAAAAAAAGTGTGATACAATTTAAGAATTGAAGTAAAACTTGAAAAAACACAAGTACTAGTGCTCAGGGATCAAATGTTCATCTAGTAAAAATATAAAGGAAAGCTTAGAATAACAAATCAGAATGTAAAATCTTGGTCTTCTCAGTATAGGGCACTAGAGCGAGCGAAATTCAACTGGAGTAGGTTTGTTGAAGTTGGCAGAGGTCCACAGGTGCTTGATACACAAGATTTTTTTTCTGAATTTTGTACATCTAAAATAGTAACAAAAAGGAACAAAGAGAAACACCAGGCTGCCAAACCAATTGGAAATGATTTATTTACCACTGTAAGATTTGTGCTCCAAAGTGTAACCAGACATGTGACCACAATGTCTCATGCGTCGTTTTGTGCTTTGATTTGGGACGGCATAATGAACACACAGCATCTAACAACAGGAAACAGGGAGGGCAGAAACATTCCACAGGACTAACTTTCTCCTCCAAAGATTCCCGCCTCAGTTCAGTTCAGACACTGCTCCCTACGCCCGGGCCGCTTTATTTCTGAGAGCTGTTGACCTGAACAGCATCCCCCGGCTCCTCTTATCTGTTGTTTCCGTTAAGGTGATACGATGCTCACTCGACCCCCAGAGCCTCCTCTAATCAGAATGGACAGACACATGCAAGGTCTCGGCGGACACTCAACAAATAGATACCTAGTTGACATTGGGAGGGGATTCACAGGAGACTGGGGTGAACTCCTAATTGCCCCGCAGTACCCCAGCCTGTAATGGCCTCTCACTTTATTTCCACCTCTTGCCAGAAAACATTCCCTGGCAAAGACATAGATAGGTTCCTTACCAAACGGATTCGGAGGTGACTCACAAGCATGGCTGGAAACAGGCTAAGCCGATGTGAAAGGTGACTGAAAGTTTTTGGTTCACCAGTCTAACATCTCTGAGCAATTTACAGAGGAGGTTTTGGAGAAAAAGCACAGCCAATGGAGGGAGCCAGGAAGTGCCATCAAGTGAATAGTGACAACTGATGCCTGCTAAGATGCCTCATTGCTTACCTTCTGAAGTTGGACTGGCAAGCTCCCATGACATTGGTGCTGTGCTACAGGTGGCCACACTGAGGCGCTGTGGAGCAAGGAAGTAACTGACAACCCGAATTCTGGCTCACAACTATCTACTCCTGCAGCTAGCTAGCTACTTACATTTGATTCCTAGTGGGGCATCTATTGGAAACATCAACAGGAGCAACCAAACCTAGCTTTTTTGTCATTTCCAAGTTAAAGGGCCATGTCCCCCAAACTGAAGGGAGGCATGTTTTCAAGAGGCCATGTTTCCTCTTTAAAGTTCATCCGCCTCCTCATTCCCACAGCCAGATGGAACAAGTCAAGCTCAGGATTGCTTCTTCCTGAAGTACAGCCATACTGAGAAGGACAGGTCTGTCACACGGAGTCAGCTGGGTGGGTGACTTGACAGCTGTCCTCAGAATGCAGTAGACCAACTCCACGGGAGCATGCCAGGGAAAGGACACTCCACGTGTGATAAAAAACAAACAAACAAACAAAACCCACTCTGATTTCTTAAATAAAACAGTCAAAACACACAATATAGCCAAGAGTGGAATACGAACAGCAGAAATATAAAAAAGGAGAAATAAAGTAAGCAGAGTGTTTCTGTCTTCATACTGCCCTGGTGCTGAGCTCCTGGAGGTCAGGGCTGGAAAGGCTGCCTGGGTAGTGTGGAAGGGATCTCATCAAGTGCAGCCCTTCCTGCTCTGCTCCAGAACCCCGGGCTAGTTAAGGACAGATGCCTTGTGTATCCCACTCAGAGAATCAATGTAACATGACCCCCCAGTGGTCCAGGGACCTGCTGGCCAGCCAATGATTCTCAACCTTCCTAATGCTGTGACCCTATAATAAAATTCCTTGTGTTTTGGTGATCTCCAACCACAGAATTGTTTTCATTGCTACTTTGTAACAGTAATTTTGCTACTGTTATGAATCATAATGTAAATATTTTTGGAGATAGAGGGTCGTGACACAGGTTGAGAACTGCTGCTTTAGATCAATGTGAGCAGGAACTGCTCACTGAGTGTATCTGACACACATCTTTTTCCATAACACAGATGACAAGACTCAGTCTTCTGAGTGACCCGACATGCCAATCTCACTCATTGTCCTGGTGATGCTGCTCACTTTTCAGTATTGGGAATACAGTAAGAGAGGAATGAGGTCCTGGCCTCAGCCAACATGTCTGCATCTGTCTTTGAGTGTAGGCATGTGGAGGGCACGAGGGGATGACTGACAGCTGAGCCTGGAAGATGACTGTGTCCAAGAAAGACGGTCAGTGGCCGGTGGCAGGCGGCCAACTACAGGTGCAATTGGTGCCACATGGCAATCTGCCGGCGTGGGTTTTTTAGCATCTCCTCCCAGTGGCTGCGCTCAGAGCCCGAGGCATGCAGGCCTAGGCTGCAGTGGCCCAGCTCACAGCTTGGCCCCTCCTCGCCCTGGCCCAGCACCTCCAGCTCCACACTGGAGGCCCGCAGCAGGTCATCCGGTAGCTCAAACATGATCATCTCGTTCCACACGGGGTTGATCTTGTGCTTGGCCCGTTTTGTCTGTTTCTTCTTCAGCTTCTGAGCCTGGTGTTTCAAGGTCACCTTGACAGAGACATCTAGGGAGGGGTACAGAGAAAAGAGAGTTGGAGGGGAGCGAGTGAGCTGCTAAGATCTGGTCATACCTGGAATACTGCTCCTTCTTGGAGTTCCCTACACTTCCACTGGACCATACATTCACTCAACAGGTATTAAGTATCTACCAGATGGCAGGAACTGGTCTAGGGATAGAAAACAAAGTTGCATGTCTAAAGCTTGCATTAGAATGTGAAAGACTGACCATGCAGGTTGAATATCTTTCTCTGTAAGGTTTGGGACCATAAACATTTCAGATTTGGGGTGTTTTTCAGACTAGGGGATATTTGCAAATTGGGATTGAGACTCAAGTGTAAACATAACATTAATTTAATGATTCTTTTTTTCTTGAACCTTGAACTTTACATATACTAAGCAAGCATTCTAGCACTGAGCCAAATCCCCAGTCTTTTTTTTTTTTCTTTCAAGACAAGGTTGTAACAAGTCACTACGCTTGGTCTCGAACTTCCTCTGCAGCCCAGTCAGTCCTGGAACTTGAGGTCTTCCTGCCTTCACAGAAGCTGGGATTCTAGGCCTGCACCCCTAGGCTTTCACATCCGTCTTATATACACAGCCTAAAGACACTTTTATACAGCATAAAAGCAAGTGTTCGTGGAGTGGAATTCTCCACTAGTGGTCAGGAGACTCCAGAAGTTGGCATTTATTAGATTTTCAGATTGGAGATACATTAGCCTGTCACAAAACATACGAGGTCAGTGGGTAGCTCAGACCTCTGGGTCTTAAGCCCTTTCTAAGCGACTTGACAAACCAAGTCAGGGGCAAGGGCTTAAGCATCCTCTAGTTTGCTATCAAACCAAACCAGAAAAAAATTGACCTCTCCACCTTCATCCTCTCCATTCAAGCCTTTGTGTTCATTGTTAAGATGGTCCTACCTAGCTGAGTTCTGTTCACATGTCTCTTTCCTAAGTTTTACTTGAGGACCTGGATTTACTATAGAGAGGGTGAAGGCAGACTCCCCGGCCTCAGGTCCCTAGGAAATTCACAAGTCAGCAGGCAAGCTTCCACAGCTTCAGACAGTTTGTTTTCATTAGTCAAGGTTGCCCAAGCTAATGTGAGAATAATTGTTACTCTGTATTTATTGCTATGGTTATCGCCCCTGGGTGGTTAGTTTGTTATTTCTACAGAGATATTTCAGACACAAAGTGCTCTTCTGTAATGGTTCTGATGGGAGCTATTAAAAAAAAAAAAAGCAAGACAGAATTGACTGAAAGGGATGAAGCCAGGCATCAGCCTCTGACCTGTGGCTCAGGACTGTAGCAACACCAGCCCTTCTGATTTCATTTACCCAAGACCTGTTAGGAATGAACAGGTGAATCTGTATTTTTAACTTTAATACATAAGGATGATGTCTGTATTATTGATATCTTGCATTAAGCACTCCATTCCATGTGGAGGTATGTTCTAGCTTATCCTTGCTGCTTTTCTGCTTTGATAGGAGAGGCTGCTTGGTCCTCACAACTAGGAACCTGTGCCCAGATATCAGAAGGCAATCTTAAACCTACAGGCTTTCGTGAATAGGTTTATGTGGGCATCTGTATCACAGACTCCTTAAGCCCCAGACTTTACCTTGATAGCCACACATCAGCTGCTGTCACCCATGTGCAGCAGGTGTGTATGGGGGGCATTTGGGCAAGCCTTGGTTGGAATGGAGAAGAAAACGGGAGGGTGTGAGATCACTAGCAGAGAGGTAAGAGAACTTAAAGGCCTGAGTGTGCCCATCAGAACTGGCAACAGATGCTGAGGGTGATTCTACAATGGGACTCCTCATTCACCCATCTCTATTTTATGCCATGTACCACTGCCTTCTTTATGTATCCCAGAGCTGGGGCATCCTGCCCCTCTCCTTGCACCCACACTTACCCTTGCCCAGAAGCTCCTTGGATTGGTTGGAGTGGAGGTTCTTGGCTTTAATCAGCACCACCAGGAGGCGATTGGCAGCTGGGAGGTAGCTGATTGACAGAAGGACCTCCCCCATCCCTGCAGATGTTTCCTGAACATAGAAGGGTAGAGATTGCACTTGCAGTTGGCTTCTGACCCATCGACTGACGCCAAGGCTGGAGTCACACTGCCCTCATACCCCATAGACATTCCGGAGTCCACTCATCTAAGGTTCATTTATCTACCACTGTACAAGGCAGCAGGGCTCAGAGAAAGGGGGCTGGCATGTATGCCAACAGGAGTACTTGGTCTACCATATGTCATTGCTCTATGTTTATTTATTTGAAACATGGTCTCACTATGTAGCCCTAGCTGGCCCAGAACTCATTATGTAGATCAGGCTGGCCTCAAATTTAAGAGCTACACCTGCCTCTGCCTCTGCCTCTGCTTCTGCCTCTGCCTCTGCCTCTGCCTCTTGAGTGTTGAGATTAGGCATGAGCTGCCATGTCCTGGCACACGATTTCTCTTTAAATCCAACTTATAAACAGAAAGCAGCCCCCTCTCACGCTACATTGAGGGTGGAAAGCAGGGGGCCTCTCTCCTTCTGCACCCTTTGCCTAGACTTGGGAGGTGCCTTAGTAGATATCTAGGGCCCTAGGGAACCCAGTTTGAGAGTCATAGAATGGACCCATCAGACTCCTGGGGGAGTAGAGTTATTGCTTTTCTCCCCTTGTTTTTGTTTATTTTTAATCATGTATATTTGTGTGTATGTGAGGGGTGTGTGCATGTGTGAATGTAGGTGCCCTCAGAGACCAGGTGACATCAAATCCCTTGAAACTGGGGTTACAGGGAGCTTTGAGTCACCAAACATGTATGCTGGAATGTGGGTCCCCTTTAGGAACTGTTGGAGCTCTCTGTCACTGAGCCATTTTTTCAGGCCCAAGTTGTCCATTTCTTTATTTGAAGAGATGACTCCAGCTTTGCAGGCTAACATCACCAATGGCATGGCATGTCCTAATGCTTAATAGGAACTGGATTCACCAACAGGAGCCAGCAACATCGGCACAAGGCTGGGCACCAAGGACAGTGGGCAAGAACCAGCAGGCAGTGTCGCAGTCAGAGTAAGCTTGAGACACTCTTTCTCTGTCCGCCCCCAGCACCCTCAGTGCCCCCAGCGCCAGCCCCATGTCCACCCACACCCCCCAGGTGCTGGTTTACAGTATCTCCCATCAACTTCCTGGAGGAGTTTTGAACTGTTGCCAAGCCTTTTGAATGAAACCCTCCCTGACCTGTGGCACAGCTATTAGGACCCAGATTTTGTCTTTTTCTGCTGCCCAGTGAGGGGATCCAGGGAGCCCATCCCCCACCCAAACACTGAGGTCACTGGTGAGTGGTCACAGAACCCTTTACTTCAGTCACACTGTCACAACTGACCCCGACCCCCCCACCCCTGCTCCCCTGCCTCCCTCAATGGATAGTGGAACCCTGCTGTGTGTACTGAGCACACCCTCTGCCTCAGAGCATGCCTGTCATCCAGGACAAATGTCTCTACCATGACCCTAATGGCTTATTCTTCCCAGGGGACTCTTTCGAAACTATCCTTTGCTCTTGAAGGAGGAGCCAGGTCTCTACCCTGATTCTGTTCTGCTCCTCTAGTCTTTTCTCCCCTTTTGTTTCTAGTTCTAAGAATTGGGGAACCTGCAGGTCATTACCTCATGTTGGAAACTGAACTCCCAAACCAGTAGCAATACCCCCAAGAGAAGTGAGATGACCTCACCCACACCTTTGTCTCCACAATTGTCCTTCCCTTGCCATCTCAGAGCTACTTCAGGACAGGAAGTCAGACAGCTTTCTTAAGTGCTTGTTAGACTTAAGTGCCCACCCTCCTGGTGTAGCATCGGGAAACGAGCTTTCCCGCTCTGCCTCCATTCCTGTCCTTGCTAATTGGACCCTCGAGGCAGCTAGTGGTCTACCCTGGTCTGTCGAGATGCCCAGAGGCAGGCCTTGGCCTTGAGATTTCAGTAGAAGTTTAATTAGATATAGATGGCTAGTCACATGACAAATTGATCTGGGAGTGTCAGGGACTCTTGCTGTGACAAGAGTGCAGATGGCCAAGGTCTATTAAACACGAGCACTCTGATCCACCTAAGTGTGTTGCCTGTCCCACCAGACTGAAGGTTCATTACACATCCCTGGGGCCAGCATGCACTGGATACAAAATAAATGTTTGCCAGGAAAATCTCAGACATCTCTCTTAATCTTGGCAGTGTCCCTGGGAAGGGCACTGAAATTCTCATAATCCACAGGAGAGCCAGGTGGGGCTTGCTATCTCCTGGGTCAGTAGCTATGACACAGCAAATCTGAGACTCCTGTGGAGTCTGCTCTAAGTCCCAGGTCACTGCTCTGGCTTCCTAGGTGGACAGTCTGTTCTTGTGATCTCACGTGACAGTGGAGGCAGCGAGGTCTGGGGATAGGTGACAAGCACATAGCCCAAGAGCAGCAGAGCCGGCAAGGTCACCCATCAGAGCGACACAGCTGGCCTGGGCTGCTGTTACAGATGACCAGGCCTGAGCCTTCTGTCTCCTATCCCTCAGCAGGCCTGCACTCCTGATGGTCTTCTTACATATGCCAGAGTGAAAAACAGGACCAGCCTTGTGGATGTCATCACACAAGAGAACTGCAGCGACACCTGGCCCTGGGGCTCCGATGCTCAAAGCACTGCAAATGAAAGAAAACCAGCCTTTTCTCCTTCCCTCTTCCTGTCTCTCCCTGCCTCCTTTTCTCTTAGATGCTCAGTGAATCACTCAGGCTGCCCTCAAGAGTGGGGTGCTCTGTTGTCCCCAATGACGCACATGCCACTTTTGGCTAAATGTCTTCCGGCAGGAACTGGGACACTGCTGCCACCTCTGTTAACCCATTCAAGCCCAGAAAAGAAAAAAAAAACAAAACAAAAACATCTGGGTTACAGAAACTGCAGACTCCCTCACCAGCTTTCAATCAGCCCTCAGTCTGCATCTGGGTGTGGTTCCTGACCTGGCCGGGAGCTGGATGGCTCCCGCACACCACTGTCCTAAGGGAAAGAGATGCGCCTGGCTAGCTGTGGAGTAGTGACAGCTGCAGCCAGTGATGACATTAAGATGGATGAGCCTGAGGACAGGACTCCCGCTGCAGCTGTGGCTGGCTGCCTGGGACACAGCAGGGGTTGGGTGAGGTGCTTGGGAATGAGTGATTGTTGTCTTTCAGGGGATAGACAGAAGCAGGCAAGAACCCAGGATTCTGTCTCAGTGAGGTGGATTTCAGCCCTTCTTGGGTCATACCAAACACCCAAGCCTAATAGGGGGACCGTCTAAGCGCCAGAGAAAATAAGCGTACTAGTTTAATAAGCCCACATGTCTTCTCTCCCACCAGGGACCCTGTATGTGACCCCACATTCACCCCAAGCCACATAGCCATTAGAAAGTGGGCTTTGAGACACCAGGTTTCAAAGGTGTGGCTGTGGTTTTTCCTATCAATTTTCCAAGCAGAGAAAAGACAGAGAAATGGGGCTCAGGAGAAACAATGAACCAAAGAGAAGCAGGTGAGGAAGGGAATCTGTTCTGCCTCCTCCAGTCCAGGCTTGAATAGGAAAGACGCCTGTCCATCACCTCCTCTAGCAAGTGCATGGCAGTCTGAAAAAGCACCCAGGGTGAGTCAGAAGGACGTGCCGTCGAGGCTGAGCTATCTGCCCATCTGGTCTGCTGGTGCTGTGTGAATTTCTAATCAGGTCAGCCTCAGCTCCCCTGTGTGTGGACAGGGTGGTCACAGTGTTGCCCTTACCTTGCTGGTTTGGGAAGTGAGGATGATGGTGACAACCATGACAACTACTGCTACTGCTACTGCTACTATTCAGATAAATGACTTCCTGAGCCAAGCCACTGAGATGGGGCACACAGAAAACTAGTGTCCCAGTGGGCAGGTTGGCAACTTGTTTTATCCAGAAAGGTGGTAGGAAAGGCTTGCAACTTTGTGAGTTTCACAAGCTAGTCCATACTGGTCCAGCCTGTTACCCATGGGCTGTATGAAGCCTTTTGGCCCAAGGATGTCTATGAATGCCACCCAATGCAAAACCTTAAACTCATGTAAAGCATTCTGAGATTTTTTTTTGTGATTTTTTAAATATATATCTATGACTTGACTTGATTGGATGGTTCTTGATGGTAAATCATGGCATGTGAATGACATCATGTCCCAGTGTCAAAAGGTTAGACTCATCTTAGTGATGTAGAGTAGCTAACTGACAGATGAGCTATCATTATCAGAAGTTCCCTGAAGGCTGCTCAGTGACAGGCTCTTGGATTGATTCTGAGGACTGACACACCATCCCTGACTTGCCTTGACGCCAATATATTGTCCTGGCTTCTGGGGAACATGGCTTGATCCTCAAGGAGCCCAAGGTCTCAGCAGCCTCCACAGTAGACACTCTCCCAGACCAGTATCTCTGCAGACCACTGACTGTACTCTGGTCTTCACAAAGCCCAGGCAGCTCATTCAGAGTCAGTACTAGCACCCCTGCCTAACAGGCCTTCCAGAACTTTCCATCATAGCACATACAGGCTCTTCTTAGACATCCCAGGATCTAAATCCTGTCTCAGATCAGCTGTCAGCAGCCATCTGTATCAGTTTGCTCCCAGGTCTGCATGCTCTGAGATCAGTGGGGCTATGTGCTTCCTTCTTCCGCTCATCTCTGCATGGCTAGCTGGAGAGGAACACAAGAACTGAAACTGTGTTTAGATGAGGGAGACTGTCATAGCATGGAAACTGATGCCACCCTCACCGTAATGCTGCCCCCTGGTGGCAGGGCTGTCTTCAAACAGGTGCTAGGAACCCCACGTTCTGGACTATGAATCTGTTCCAGCCTCTAACCAGAAACCCAAGCTGCCTTTTTTTCCTGAGCTGAAGAGTGTCTCTGAGTCTTGTTCCATCATCTTAACCTTCTACTCCCATCCCCTACCAGCCAGCTCTAAGCCTCTGGTCTGAAAACCCCCTACCTTTGCTGTGGTCTTCAGCTCACCCCACTGTGCTGCCCCCAGGGGTACAGATGCTCCATCTAGGCCCAGGCGGAGTTCCCCAATCACACTATGTCGGGAGAATCGGTCACAGGTCCGCAGGGTGAGGGTCAGGGTAGCTGTGGGGAGCTCTTCCTCATCCAGAGGCAGGGCCAGGCCCTCCTCCCAGGTTGTGTGCAGCTGCCGTTTCTTCAGAGCTGTCTGTGCCTCCACGGAGCCGGTCTTGACAGCCACACTGCCTTGGATGTAACAGTCACAGCCTCCTTCGTGGTCACTGGTGACAGCTGCAGGCAGGAACAAAACAAAACAGACCTGGGACTTCCAGGACATTGAGGGGAATAGGTCCCCAGACAGGGCTACAGAACACAGATGACCTTGGGTGTCTGCAGGACCACTGGGTTGCCACGGCATTCCATCACCGTGTAACTGTCTTGTAGGGAAGAAGCATTTCAAAATGGGACATCATGGGGCTGGGGGAAGGATTCCTTGGATAATAAAGATGAGAGGAGGCTCTTTCCAGATGTCTTCTGACCTCAAGATTCAGAGATGTCCCCACTGGTGCCAAGGCCCCTGGCGAGCTTCAGTTAGGATAGCTACCAATGCTAAGTGTGACTCACGTATTTCGTATTTTAAATATTTACCACACAGCCACTTGTGATCTGAATCACCCGTCTGCTGCCTCATGAATGTTGCTTCCGACTCTCTCGACCTTGATGTTTTGAATGCGTCACACTGTGGATTGTGTTAATCAGCTTTCTGACATTGTAACAAACACCTTAGAGAACCAGCTTAGAGAGTGAAAAGGTTTACTTGGATTCATAGTTTGAGAAACGCTAGCCCATGGTACCAGTGGTTACATTGCTTTGTGAGGCAGCATGTCATAGTGGAATCACATGACCCAGCAGAACAATTATGTTATGGCCAGGGAACAAATGAGTGTGAGAGAAAAAGTCCAGTGGATTGGGGAGCAAGTCTTAGCCGCATGCAACTCTGGGCACAGTTAGGAACTACGCTATAGCACTTGTGTGAATTTTAGCAGGCATTTGGCCACTCTGATGGGCTTTAGTCTTTAACCTCACCAGGAAAGGGACCTAGGTCTCCTACACAGTGTGCCCCGCCCTGTGCCACCAACTCCTTCCCTGCTGACTGGTGTTTCTAAAGTGTCATGGCGTGGATGTGTCCTGCAGACCTTCCTCCTCCTAAGACTCTGATGACTGTCCCCTCAGTGTAGAAGATGACATTTCAGAGAGAGAGAGAGAGGTGTTGAGTGAGCCCACTCTCCATCCATGAGGCCTGAGGACCTAATGCCCCACAGTCAACAGCTTCCTTCTGAGTTTCAAGGGGCTGCTTGTTCCTGGCTCCAACACTCATTACCAGAGTAACCTGGAGCCCTCAGAGGAGAGGTTTGGATTGTTTCCTAATCTGTAAAATGGTAGTTACCTGAGGACCAGAGGTGTACATGGAAGTGATTCAACATCTTAAACAACAGTAAAACGGGAAAATTCTCACTCAAATAAGGAAACAAGGGGCTGGAGTGGGGGGAGCTCAGGGGTGGGGCACTTACTCAGCAGGCTTGAAACCCTTGGTTTCCATCCCCAGGGTCAAGTTCAACACAAGGCTGATGTGGTATGAGTGACAGCTTTGTCAACTTGACAAGTCTAGAATCACCTAGGGGACAAACCTATGGGTGTGCTCATGAGGGAGCATTTAGATCCCAAAGACCTACCCAACTGTGGGAGGTACCCTAGGTCTGAGATCCTCAGAGTTTATCATTCTCTGTTTCTGGTCTGTAGACAATGTAGGCGGCTGCCTCAAGCCCGGGAAGCCATGGTACACAATGGACATGCATCGTCTTTGTAGGGATATTGTATCACAGCAGCTAGGTAAATCACTGATGCAGGTTTGGATCTTCACGTCCTGCAAAGGTGGTGGGCTGAAGGCTTGGTCCCTGGCTTATGGTGCTCTAGGGAGGAGGAACCTAGTGAAAGGAAACTGGCATACTCTTGAAGAGGATCTTGGGACTCTGGCTACCCCCTGCTTCCTTGTCACTGTAAGGTGAGTGACTTTGCTCAGTGTGTGCTTTCTGTCATGGTGTTCCGCTCACCACAGACCCAAGGTCAACAGGGCTACCCGTGGACTGAGTGAAACTTCTAGAACTGTGAGTCAGAACAAATCTTCCTTCCTCAGGTACTTTACCACAGTGATGGAAAGTTGGCTAACACAGAAACAGAAGACATTAGGAATAGAAATGGCACAGTTAACACACCACTGCCACCAGTTCAGTTGTCTTCATAAAATCTGAACTTTGTTGGTGATGGGGTGTACTATCAGAGGAGCGCTCCCCAGGATATCCTACCAGACAGACTACCTGATTCCTGGGGAAGTTATCAGAAATTTTTCTGACCTTGGAAAGACTGTCTTTGTCTGGCCAGGAGCCCTGTTCAATGTCAAAGGCATTACTGGCAAAGGCTGCTAGCTGTTCATCCATCACTTATCTCCCTGTCCTGGTGGGCAGCCTGCCAAGCCACCTTTCCTAAAATGCCCTGCAACCAGTGTGGCCAACTGAGAAGGCTCCAACCAATGGATACGAGAAGCAGAGACTCACGCTTGCTCTATCCACTAAGACTATTATGGGATGGCTGTGAGCTCTTCTAATTCTCATCGTATCAGCCAGGAGCACCTAGCAGGAGGTCTGAGGAGCTTGGAGAACCACAGGTGGAAAGGACTGGTCCTTGAGTCACCAAGTGGAAGAAAGATGTCTGACAGCTAGAAATCTCTGGTGAGAATGGTTACAGGAGAGAGAGAGGAAGAATCTCTGTGTCTGAGCATCGTGCATGAGGGACTGTTTGTCAGAGTGCTCACCCTTGCTCTCTCCAGCTGCAGACCCTCCCATCCCACCTTCAGGGCCTTCCAATCACACAAAGTGGTGGTACCTTCCAGGCTAGTCACAAACAACTCAGCCTTCTTCTGGTCATAGTCCAGGCGAAAGTGGAGTTTGGGGGCCTGGTTCCAGCTGGCAGCCTTCTCTGGGTTCCAGGTCTCCATGACACAGACATCCTCTACTACACCTGGGAGACAGACAGGGTGATCATGACTGTCATGCTGGAGTTCTGATCATATCATGCTCTCTCTGTCATCCAAGCCCAAAACTGTCCCTAAAGGGGCTATGGAATCGCACCTCAAGGGATCATTGTGATCAGTATGTGGACTCTGATATTGCACTTAAGTTGGCGCGCAGCTGCTGTGTATTCTTTAGGGGAATGCTCTCAGCTCTGGGCTGGTCTACAGTGTGCTTTTCACAAGGAAAGCTGTCATGTGGTCACATGATTCTGGTGGGGGATGGAAATATGGGCAAATATCACGAGAAAGAACAGGTGGAGACAACAGCAAAACCAAGCCCAGAGTTGATGCCACTGGCAAGGATGGTTGGTGGCTTTGATTTTGATTTTGTGTCCATTCAACATTTGCTGAGTGAACGGAGGACCTTATCTTTAATCAAGAAGCTCCTAAAACCACAAATAAAACTGCCAGTACTGCTGGCTCCACCCCTCTCTTGAGCTGGAGCCTGGTGTGTGAAAGACTCTCGTGAATCAAGCCTAAAAGGAGAATTAAGACACCACAGTGGCTGCCGCAGATGACACTTTAAGCAACCAGAACTGAACTGCTGATCCTCAGGATGAATCAGAGGGCAGGGCTCTAGGGGACCATTAATGACCCCGAGGACTCATTATTAGATTCTTGCTACAAACTGTCCTCTAAGGAACAGATCGACTGTGGTGAGACCAAGACACCTATGTGTGCAAGTTGCTCTGGGCTTCCAACGCCATCCTGAGGATGCTGCAGTGGACTGGGAGACAAGGGGGCGTAGTGGTACCTAGAGGTCTTGGAGCTCATGCAGCCTCAGACTGAGGACCCAATCCCCATCCATCTGGCATTACCTATCCCTGACTGGGTTCTGTTCAGGGGCAGCATCTGCAAAACTGCCTCTGCAGCTGTTTTTTTTTCTTTTGAGTGAGGGGAGCAGTGGAGCTGGGGGAGTAAAACACACTCAGTGCATCATGGGATGTTGGCTGAAGTGGCTGAAGTGTCTAGCTGTCTGTGGGTCAGAACCAGGATGGCTGCCCTCTGCGATGGGAAGGAAATGAAGACAGGAGTCTATGTGTGCTGGATTCTCTGGAGCCATGGAGGGTTCCATCCTGGTTCCATCCAAGCAATGAGCAATCAGGGACTCCCGAGAGAGGCTCTGGCAGTGGGAATCATCTCCAGAAGTACTCACGCCCATCAATCTTGCCTGACTTGATTCTCCCATCTTCAAATTTGAATCTATTTAAAATGTGGGCAGGGAAGCCTGACTGCTGACAGCCAATAGAATCGGCGCATCTGCAGCACAGACTGAAGTGGTTTCTGCAGAGCCAAGCTAGGGAGAACTGCTGGCCTCTGCGTTAGGCCATCTGTCCACTGGCCAACAGGAATACACATGAACCCAGGTCACTGTCAGAGCTGCTGCTGCCTGCGCTGCCACATGTAGCAAACCTGGACCACAGGACTGGCTACCTTCTTACTCTCAGGATTGTCTCTCTTAAAAGCTTCTGTATTCCTGTGGGTTAAGGCCTGCATCTCAGCCCCCCTACTATCGCCCTGGCTGCACTATGCTGGACTCCTATGGGCACTGCGTTCTGAAGCCTGGTACTCATAGGAAGAATAGGGACAGTGACAATAGCCATATGTTTTGGTGCTTTGTGCTAAGCCATGGTTCAAGCATTTATTTTAGTCATTATTTAGTCATTATTGATATACATTTAACAGTAACTTTCACAGGTAGGTGATAATATGGTCTTACTCCATTGATGAGGGTGAAGTCTCAGAGAAGCTTAGTAGGATGTCCAGTACCACACAGCAAGCATATAAAAAGGCAGAGAGAGTCTGCCTTTTTATAACTCAGAAGCCTGTTTTTAATCTTGATTTTTTTAAATCCCTTATGTAATTACACAGTAAAAACTGAAACAGATTCTTCATTTCCCACAGGAAACCTGGATGTCAAACATTGGGGCCCACCACACTGGGGTTCTGGACAGCTTCTGCAGGTCACATACTGTGTCCAAAGACACAGGAAAGTCCCTCCCTATCCCCATGCTGCCCACCAAGTGCAGGGAATCCTACCATTCTGAGGGAGGATGAACAGTTCCTCTGTGACCTGCCTCTTGAGGCGACTGTCTCTCTGGGCCTGGGGGCTAGCAGGTGCAGCAGACTCCTCTGTGGTCCCCAAGGTGTAGTCTGCGTAGTTGATAACTTCTGGGGCCGTCACAGCTGGCCGGGGACCATAGATGTCCGGGAACTTAAGGAGAGGTCGGGGCTGGACAGGCTCCGTGGACTTTTTGACGTTGAACTACAAATGTGAATAGAAATGGTTAGTTGGTGTGAACAGAAGGATGTGGTAGGGACCATCTCCACCCCAAGAAGGAAAAGTGGGAGCTGACTTCCTGAAGGAGGCAGGGTCGGAGGTCTGCCTCCAGTCTGCCCCAAGAACATAGCCTGGGAAAGGAAAATGTTCCTTCTAACCACATTTAAGAGTATATGTACGAATGGGGGAGTCATAACCCATCATTCGCCCCCCCCCAACCATCTCTGGGTAAGATCATGCTTCCTCTGTGAAACCCCCTTTATGGCCTTCCTCTCTGCCTCTCTGTCAGTCTGTCTGTTTGTCTGTTTGTCTGTTTGTCTGTTTGTTTGTCTGTTATTCTCTGTTCCTTCTCTCTGTCCCTTTCCAGTGGCTGAACTGGGCTAGTGGTACCCACCACATCTACCACAAAATCCAGACTCCTGTGGTAACCTGTAAAAGCCTGTCTTGCCTGACCCACTGGCCTCTGGCACTTCCCAAATCTGCCCACCTCCCTTCTAAGGCCCCAAAGTCCGTCTCTGATCCACCCATCACCTATCTGAACTATTCCCACATCTCCTCACCACCACATCTGGTCTTTGGCTCACAGCACTGGCCTCCTCCAGTAATGTTTTAGTTGTTAGTGGTCTGGCTGTGGTCTGTCCCTTGCCCTAGCATGTCAGACCCATGAGCACAGAAGCTAAGTTTAGCCCCACTCTTGACCCTAGCACCAGAACTGGGCTACTTTGGCTGGATCACTTTGCCTCTCTGAGCTGTTGCCTTAAATGACACCTCTGAGCTGTTGCTTCAGGTTGCAAAGAGGTCGGTGACACTGTCCTTTGAGGAGATATCCCAAACAGCAGAAGGAAAGAGTGAGTCCATCTAACTGTCTAGGAGATATGGCGTCAGCAGACCGAAGGTCAAGGGCAGGACAGGATGTGATCCACAGGCAATTAGAGAGTCTGGAAGTCAGGCTTGACCTTGACCTTGAAGAAGGGAGGTATGTAGAAGGCAGAAGGACCACGTCCCTGACACAGTAGTACAGAGCCATACCCTGCATTTCACCAAGTGTGGGTTCCATCTGTTTTACTGACACTCAGAAGCACTTGGGGTCAGACAGAGCCACCAGAGACTTTGACTGGATTTCATAACATGTGCCTGTTAGTATTGCCTGTCATCTGGACATTGCTAGTGGACCAAATGGCAATTGCAGCACCTGGTCCAGCCTCAGGTGTTCTATCTTGTTCCTCTGCCCCAAGAAGTTCCTAGATACTGCTGGGTCTCAATCACCTTTGACTCAGAGCCAGCCTCTCTGATACATATTGCGACCAGAAGTGAGCCTGTTCGGGTGGCCTTGGGAGCATGGCTCTGTCTGCAGTTGAATTTCTTCCACCTCAATTGCTTTATAGGAAGTCTGGCTTTGGTTCTTGATTTGAGTCATGGCTGGCTGAACTTGTGGTTTTGGTGGGGGACTCATCACTGGGCTCCAGGAATGAATGGGGTTCTTTATAGGGCCCGTCACAGAGCCAGGGAACGCTTTCCTGCCTATCCTGAAGCAGAAAGTCCCATCCTGATTCTCTTCTATCTGCTTTCCCGCACATTGTCACCTGGTTGTCTGGGGCCATCTATGATTGCTTGCTCTGATCCTCCCTATTCATGGCTTTTCCTGTTCAATCCTAGGGAAGCCAGCCCAGATGCTATGGTAGGCATGCTCCAGACAGACTGTGTCCCCATTAGGCAGAAACCACATGCCCCTGTCTTGTGACTGTAAGATGAGTCAGAGTTAGGACAAAGCACCACAGGTAGAAGGACACAGAGTCTGTTTCTCTGATATTAATATTATTTGGCCACCAAGTCCATCCACCCTGTAGCCTGGCCACCTCGAATGCTCACAAGTGATGCTGTTCTTACTTTTTGAGCTCTGCCTTGCAACCCAGAGCATGCCAAATGGATGCCCAGCACTGCAGACAAGCCCCTCAGGGGTCATCAGCCTGGTGTCCACTCAGCCGTGGGCAGGACTTTATACCCATGGAATCTTCTGTCTACCCAGCCTATGGCTTCCACACTTGGTATTGATCCTTATTCTGAGGGCAAACAGTGGTGGCCTTCTGCAAGAATGATTAATGGTCCAAGCTCTGGGAGCAGAGCTGCTGTCAGTAACTTACATCCTCAAGGCACGAAAGCACAGTCACACATCCTGCTCCTCAGTTCAGACCCCTGTTTGGGGCCATTGCATTAGTTCACTGGGTAAGGGGGGTTCTGCCAAGTCTGACAACCTGAGTTCAATGATGGAAAGAAAGAACTGACTCTTGTGTGCAGTCTTCTGACTATACATGCACTGTGGCATGTGTGTTACATACATACAAACATACGTACATATATACATACATACATACATACATACATACATACATACATACATACGAAACAGTTTCATCTTTTCATTTGAATGTCAAATAACTGAAACTTCACTGCTCAAGTCATAGAAAAGAGGTTGAGGGCAGAGGGAGCCAGGGAGAGGGGCTTGGGGCGGGGGGGACTGAGAATGTCTGGGAAGAAGGGAATGCTAAGGGGCAGGCCCTGCAGGCACACTTGTACCCAAGTAGTGGTGGAGAACCTCAGAACCAGGAGACTTCCGGTCTCACTGTCCCTGCAGCCCAGGACAGGAATCTGAGACAGTGGGTATCAATGCATCAGGAAAGGTGTTCAGAGGGACTATAATCAGGAATGCCAAACAGACAGAAGAGACATGCGTTCGGATCAGAGGCCTCAGAGGAGTCCCTTGGTGTCCCAGCCTCAATCTGAATCCTAGACTGTTAGCCTCTTATTCCCTTCACCATGACCAACTCTGCAGGTGCCAGGTTCAGGCTGGGGAGGAGTGTACCACAGTGCCTGCAACATGCCCAGTCACATCCAGCCTGCCTCCTGCTGCAGGGCTGAATCAACCAGTCAAAACCAACCAGGGAGTGCAGAGTGCTAAAAAATCCATGAGGAAAGTCAGAGTTAAAAAATCCATACCACTCCACCCAAAAGCTGGCAAAGGACTTTTATGGTCACTCTCCAAAGAGAAAACACAATTACTACCTAAGCAAGATATGCTGGGTAGTTTCTGTGAACTTGACACAAGTTGGATTATCTGGGCAGAGGGAACTTCAAGTAGAAATTGCCTTCATAAGACTGGCCTGTAGGCAAGTCTGTAAGGAATTTTTCTTGATTAATGATAGATGTGGGAGTGGCCAGACCACTGTGGGTGGTACCATCCCTTAGCAGGTGGTTTGGGCTGTATAAGAAAGCAAGCTGAGCAAGCCATGGGGAGCAAGCCAGTAAACAGTGTTCCTCCATGGTCTCTGCTTCAATTCCTGCCTCCAGATTCCTGCCTGAGGAACAGAGAGACAGAGGAGAGAGAAAGAAATTGAAAATGCGGGCATATAAATGCTATTCATCCTTAAAAGAGGAGTCTTGAAATGCTACTGTGTGCACAAACCTAGAGATCACTGCAAGTGGAAGATGCTGGCTACAGACAAACCTGAGGGACAGACACACACAGGTGTGTTATATGCATGTACATGCATGCATAAACATACATATGTACACAAGTACATATGTATGCACATGCATACACACATGTATACATACATATAATATACATACATACATACATATACAAGGAGACATACATAGATGCACATATATACACATATAAAACATACATATACATATATACACATACATATACACACATATATATAAAAACATACAAACACATATGTAACACACACACACACACACACACACACACACACACATATATATATATATATATACACACACACACACACATTAAAGCTGGCAGAGTGACTCATACCTGTAACTCTAGAACTCAGGAGGTAGAGGCAGGAGGGTCACAAGTTGAAGGCCAGCCAGGCCTATATAATAAGATCCTTCCACAAACAACATCTATTTAAAAAAAATTGTTTTGAAAAAAAAAACAAACTTGTGAATAGCCAGTAGCTCTGGGGAGAGCTTGACTCTGTACAGGAAGCCTAACTGAATTTCTGTTTTTCTTCCTCTTTGTTTTCCCCAATGGCATCTTAACTTCGGGGTTGAAGGTGACTCCTACAGCCCCAGCTGTCTCTCTGGATGCTAAGTGGAGGCTGCTGCTCACCCTGTGGCCTTCCTCCCAGCCTCAGCCCCACCTTCCTGGCTCATGCTTCCCCAGGCTCTGTCTACATCAGCTGTTGCAGGCTGACAGATGGCTTGGGGGCAGGGCAGGAGGACCTGGACTTCATCTAATGAGCAAATATTGATGGATCCTCACCTCAGGCCAGGCCTCACCTGAGCGTGAAGGCTCCAGGAGGGAAGAGACAGATGCCCTCCCAGGTGAGGTTTATGTTTTTGGGAAAGCAGAAGTTAATTACAGAGCTATCGGTCTGTGAAGACTCAGCTTACCTGAGGTTTTCATTGACCCTGGCTATTAGTTCGGTGTTTTGTGTTGGGACATCCTTCTTAAAGTAACGAATGTTTCAGGGAGCTGGTGAGATGACTCAGTCAGGAACGGGCTTAGAACACAAGCGTGAGGACCTGTGTTCAAATCCCCAGTGCCCACATAAATAGCAGGGTATGGTGGCACATATCAGTGACTCTGGTGTTCAGGGGGTGGTGACCCAGATTCTCTGGGCTCAGTGGCCAGACGGTTTATTTGAATGAGTGAGCTCCAAACTCAAGTGAGGCCTTGACTCAAAAACTAAGAAAGGAGGCACCCAAAGTTATCTCTGGCCGCCACATTCACATGTCCACAGTTAAACACATACACATGCATGTACATGTGTATGCGTGTGCACACAGGTACACAAATGTGCACACACATAATCACCATTTCCCCAGGGGAAGAATACCTCCTACAGGCTAAGTGTGTAGTTCAGAATGGCCTGGCTTTCCTTGGAACCTAATTTTGCCACGGAAGACTATGTACTCTGTAACAAACAGCTTCCTCTGCACCATGGAGAACA